TTCTGTGATTCTGTGTGATTCTGTGAAAACCCCTGAGGGACTATTTTTGGAAAATGTTGAATACAGCAAGCACATTTTCCAGTTCTCCTTTCCACTTTTTCCAGCAGAAATAATCTGGAAGTTGGACTTGATGATCCTTATGAGTCCCTTCCAACTTGAGATATTCTATAATTCCATGAATTTAAACCTAAATTGGTAATCAGTTAATAGCCACTATTTGTATCTTTGTTCTCTTATTTATATCTTTGTTCTCTGACTGTTCTGATAATCTGGAGGAATTTATGGTTCTACTTGCATGAATTTTTGTACCTGAAAGTATCCATCCATTAGTACTGAACCATCCACTGGTACCTGACACAGACAACATGTCTGAGAACTGACCCTCACCACGGGCAACTGAGCTGAAGGCTGTATGTCAGGGTGTTAGCATGCAGACATGCAACATTTCTTCTAGATTGGCTCCAGGTGTATATGTCAGAGCTCAAAGTCTGTCTGGAGATAGCTTTACTATTTGATGGCTTGGACATATCGATGTATTACATATAAAGGCATTATTAATGTGATTTACTCTTTCATGAGTACCATTTTTTTTTTAGAGATGGTCTGAAAAATCAGTTTTTGAAACTTGATCAGAATCATACAAATATTCATGTTTCAGAGTGAATTAAGGTCCACATTTTACAGAAATGTTCTTGTACCTTCTCATACCAAGGAGGAACCAGAAAAAAGTTCCTTTTGAAAGGTTAGATCCTCAATGAAACCATGAAAAGGGATTTAGATTCAAGACATGGAACACCTTTTTCATGTAACACCAAGAATTTAAACCATTACTAAGTGTATTTTGTTGGAAGTTTTTATGTTTGGGGTTTTTTGTGTGTAGGTTTCTTGTGTTTTTGTTTTATTTATTTTTTTTTTTCTGAACAAAGAATTAAGGTTGTAATGTTTGTTTTTTACATGGTCATCCTGTCCATGTAGTTTGAAAAATAATTTTCTGGTTTGGCTTTGGTATAATTTCATACTTTAAATGTTATTGATGACTCAGGATACCACTGGACATAAATCAGGAAATCTCTATTGAAACATGTTTCCAAGCTTCAGAATTCCCCCCCTAATTCACTAGTGTAACAATTGGAAGGGTCTTTTCAGGAAAAACAGCAAAAAAAATAAAACAGAAAGGAAAAGATTTCTGTAAGTGTTCAATTGTAAAGAAAATTGTTTCTTTGCCTTGTTTTATGGCCAATGTTAGTTGACTACTTTTTGATTAGTATCTTGCAGAGCTTTGACACACTGTAAATATTAATTAAGCAACAGCTATTATGCCATATGACTGTATGGTTAATGCACATTCTTTAACTCTGTTCGCCCTGCCTTTATTTTGCCAAAATAATTGAAATATATCTTTTAAATTGTTCAATTGTTATGTGCTTTTGTACACTTTGTTCTACAAGATCTGGCACATTTGTGCCAAGAGGATGCAAGGGGTCACTTAACAGTACATTCAGGAGGTTTATAACCCTGTCTCAAGAATATGTGCATCATGACTACAGAAGCTGTGATGCTTTAATCTGTTGAATGAAACTCCAGTTTCTAGAGAGAGCAAGACAATATGTCTCACCAAGGCAGAGCACTTCATCAGGGTAAATAATAACACCGAGTTCCCTGAGCTGGATTCTGTGATTAATATTTTGTGATTCTGTGAATCAGTGAGGGAGGAAATAACTGACTGCTGCACAAACCTAAGAACGTCACACAGACAGGAAGAAAAAACACCTTTACTTCTTGGAAGAAGTGAAGAATTAAACATTATCTATGTGGTGGACCTAAGATCTGAAAGTGATATGTTCATATGACTGTGAGAAGGTTGAAGCCAGCCTAGGAAGACCCACTAGGCCACCTTTAGCCACACACTTCTAATTTAGCTCTACTGGGCTTTTTGGACTTACATTAAAAATTAGGTCATCAAACTCTTAGTGTACATCTGCATAGATGGATGAGGGGAGCATGTATCCATCATGTTCTAGACTGGCCAGGTCTCGTCTGACAGAGTACAGTGGCATTAGCATATTTGACCCTATGGTAAGGTTTCCCAAGAAGAAAGGGGTATGAGAAACAGCTCAATGCAATGCTAGTGATGGAGCAAAGCTGAATCCTGTCCATTCAGTGAGGTTTGGATTGAGCCAAAGTAAAATGTGAAGGGAGTGGACAAAAGTGTGAGTTCAGTAGAACACCACTGCTGGTCTCTGACAGCTAGCAGAACCACAAGACGTTCTTACTGAATATACCTTCTATGTCACAATTATAGACAAGAAATCCCAAAAAGGGATGAGATGTCTTTTGGGGCTATCCAACAGAAAATGTGAGGTTTCTCTATGTAAAAGTAGCTGGTGAAGAAGCAGAGGAGAATTCTCTCTAAATTAGTGAAATGGAAGGCAGAAAGGTGACAGACCCTTTGTGCAGATAAGGATCACACACTCCAGTCTGGATACCAGTACAATGCCAATAAGGTGAACTGAGAGCACAGAGAGGAGGGACTAATTTTGAGAGGCTTATCTTCTTTTTTTTTTTTCCTAAACTACAAGATACCATACATAATTTTTCTTAAGAGAAGCATAATTTTAAATACATAGAAGATTTTTTTGTTTACATATTATTTTTCTTCATTTTCTCTGTGTTTTAAAAATTATTGTAAACACATTTGTGCTGTTCATCACTGAAGGAAGCAGATGTGCTGGGTATTAAGTGTTTCTGGGACACAATCTTTCTATGTGCTCTACACAGTTTGCAATGCTGATACCTGTAGATAAGGGATAGTGAAGCTGTAAACTGTTATCTGTAGCACTTCTCCCAAAATATGAAAAGCTGGATGAGTTGTCTTGTGTCTATTGAAGTCACCAGTAAATCTCCACTAAGCTGAAAACTCTGTTGCCTGGAAGCAGGTTGGAGAAAAGATACAGAAACTTCAGGAAAAAAAAGAAGCGTTAGCTCACTTTTAGACAGTATATGGGAGTTGGACTAGTTGATCTTTAAAGGTCCCTTCCAACCCAAGACATTCTTTGATTCTAAGATTCTATTTCATTCTCTAGGATTCTAGTTGTAACTGTGGGAGAAATCTACAGGTGAAGTAAGATACAGATATAGTACTAATCATGGAGTTTGTCCTGAGGGTAAATAAAAGACAGGTGAGAGATCATGTTGGGGCTTCTATTTGAAGAGGAAATTTTCTATACATTGACTGACTTGTTTTTAACTAATTAAAATGTTTTATGTTGATTTTCTCCACAAATATTTCACCATAAATATACTAAGTCTTTCTTTTTAACAGTTGAGAGAAGAAGAAGGTATAATATTAATTACCGAATCAAGGAGCTTGGCACACTCATCCCCAAGTCTAATGACCCGTGAGTTCAACAGTCTTTCCTATAATAATGTTTATAGTTTAAATACAGGAAAAAAAAAAAGATACTGGCTATAGGATTGAGTAATGGGATACAAAATCTTCCATGCTGGGTCACTGGCTCATGTCAGACTGTTAAAGTAACAAACCTTTGACAGATTTTTAGCGCATGTTGGGAAAACTTATGTGAAAAGATAATAAATAGAAGCAGTTCCAGGGTGTTTAAGATAGACTGCCACATCAGGGAAAAAAAACCAAACCAAACCAAACCAAACCAAACCAAACCAAACCAAACCAAACCAAACCAAACCAAACCCAACCCAACCCAACCCAAAACAACAAATCAAACCAAAAAGAAGAAAAAAGCTGAACAACAGAAAATTAGGCTCTCTGTCCCAGAAAGCAATTGCATGCTATCTCTGGAGAAAGGAGTCATGCTTTCAGCCCTTGCCATGGGCCCTCTAGTGGGATAAAACAAAATGCATGTTATCAGTGTCTGCCCTTTGCCTAAGGAAAAAATAATCAGCTTGAGTCTGTAGAATGAGCATTTTTCGAAAGTCCTCCACTCAGTGCAGAAAAAATAACAGTCCTAAAATGCAAGGATAAAAATAATAATTGATATAATTGCTATAGTAATAGCATTTTATACTAATGCACATACTTACAGTAACACAAAATGCATATTTCTTAAATTGTACCTGCATTCCCTTAAGCTTATATTTGTCATCAATATGAAAAAAGCCACCTCAGTAGGAAAGCCTATTGCAGGATTAGCAATAACAATTCAGTGTGATATTTAATGCTGAACTTTAGCCTTAGATTTCTCATGTCACTCAGAGAAGCCTTAAGACCATGCACTAACATGACCGTGACTTGCATAAAATTGATTATACAGATTTTGTCTTTATCATTTGCATGTCAATACAGATCTGCATGATACTTCAAACGAAAACATCTATTGATATTTCAGCCTTTTTTTATCCTTAGGACTAAGATACTTTTGATTATATTAAGGATTTCTGCAACAACATAAAGCTGTGGGAGACTTACATAAATACAAGGTTGGTGTAACAAGACACTTGGAGTGAAATCACCAGAGAGAAAGTTAACATGCCACATCCATTTTAGAGAATTCACAGACTCTGCTCCTTCTGAAGTATCCACCCAAGATTAGATGAATGGGCACATTCTTGTCATTAATATAGAATTAGGTATTATATTTAAAGGTGCTTTAAGTACCTATATAAAGTTTTGGCTGCATGTAATCTGTTGCTAACATAGACTGGTAGAAGAGTTTTAATTTCACTGGTGCATCTTTCAGTATTCAGGATCTTTTCGGCAAATAATTGAAAGATTTCTCAGAAAAACAGTGGATGCCACTGTTGGTTTGCAGCTATAAAGCAGTAATGGAAGCAAGTTATACTGCAATTAGAAATGGGCATGAGGTAAAAATTCCAGTTGCAATTTTTTATTGCCTATGGAGGTGTTTCACTTACATGATTTGATCTGGATTCAGGTTTTGTTTATGAACTTATTCAAGACATTAATACCTAGAGCAGTCACTTAAACTCTTCTGTAATGAACTATTTGGACTTGTAATTTTGTTCCAGTAAGTGAATGATGGATTTTACCCACAGATTTTGCTGTTGTTGCCTAGTGAAAAAGTTTCAGGCATAGATCCTGAAAACATTGCCTATTCTTGTTAGTCTGTTAGTCTGCTAACCCATGACTGAGTTCAACAGTGTGACAGTCCTGAGGCGGCTTATGTTTACAAAGAACACAAGGTGAACTAAAGTGTCTCACGTTCTGAGGACTACTGTCTTCAAAAGGCTGGTAATCAGTACTCCTTTTGAAAACAAGCCTATTTAAGACCTTTCAAGTTAGTCTTAAGAAAAAAGAGGAATCAAAATGTGCAGGATGCTTTTGAAAAACTAGGTAATAACTTTGCTATAGCTTGTTGCCAGATCACATTAATTTGAAGAACTGTAAACACATTTATTTTTATATTTGTAGGTGGAAATACATTAATTAGACCATGTTGTTTTGTTGGCTGAGCAGATAAAAATTATTATTTCTTTCTGGTATGGTCCTGTGTTGCCAAATCATAACACAGTGTCCTTACCCTCTCTTTCAGTTCTTGCCTTTCCCTTCATAACACCTTACTGTGCCCCCAATCTGCCCTCTTCTTCTTTGAAAGAAAGAGATGTATCATCTCTTACAATGCTTTATCTGTAACATTTTATCACATATAGCGTTTTCACCTCGTATATTGATTTTAGAAGGTTCTTCTTATAGTGAGAACTTAGCTGTAAAGGGAGAAACCTTACTGATGCTTGAACTAATGACAGTGAAGCAAATCAGGCTTTGCATTGAAAAGCAAATACTACTATAACTAAGCCATTGTGGTTAGCATGCCTGTCCCAGATGGCTTGCTTCAAGAAGATTACATTCAGACTCAGGAAGAGAAAAGGACATTTTTGATGCTATTTGGAAACCTTTTATGATTTATATTTCTTAGAAGTTGTGTGTGGGGGGGTTTATTTCACTTTTGTTTAGTTAGTTATATAGTGAACTTGTTTGGCTCCTGCAGAGCTTCCGCAGGGACTTTCTTTTGAGTGGCTTAAACCCCTATTCTTTTCATTTTTTTTTCTAATTTAATGATGAAAAGAGTGGATTACATTGCTTAAATGAATGGGTGTTTTAAGTTCACTTCATCAGCATCAGAAAATGGAGATAAGTATGAGATGCAAAGAACTTTGACTCTTTTGTTTAATTTTCAATGCTGAGATATCTAAGTGGTAGATGATTCAGAAATGCAAAACAGTTATAGAGAATACTTCAAAAATAGAATTAAAAAAGTCCAAAACATCCAGTCATATTTTGCTGAAAAACTCGTAGCCTGCTCCTTTAAATATATCTACCTTTCTATTCATGGTTCCTTTCTGTTCAGCGTTTCAGAACCCAGCTTTAGGTGGTTAACAGGACTTCATGTTATGATAGAGTCTGGAAATGCCTACGCAAGGATTGTTTTATGGTAGCTGGACAAGAATTGCCAGAAATACTAACTAAAAATAATTTTCATTTAAGAATTCTAGTCATTTTACAGAACTGGGATGTTAAGAGGATTTGGGCAGAAGTAGTGGGTTGCTCTCACTCTCTGCATCTGCCTATGCCTGACCTTCTGCCTGTTGTCTATGGAGAGACCTGCTAACGGCCATGTCTCTTGTAAAAGAAAACCTAGTGTACACTCATGCTATTATAAAATGGAAACTTGCCCCTTTCAGGAGAATACACTTTGTAATTGTGCAGGTCATCAAAACAAGTACAAAGTTCTTCAAAGTATTTCTTTGAGCAAGCATAGTTTAAAGCTAATTTCTCAGAAATAGCAAGAGAAATGGTCTGCAAACATAGTTTCAAGTTCAGAAATGTATTTTTATTAGTGCTCTGTGACTGGCAAACTCTCTGATTATAATCCTCTCCCAAACTCTGTTTTCATTATTAGTTTTAATCTTAGATGATCAGATGCTCTTGTCCTTTCTACAGGAGTTCAACTTGTGTAAACCAGTGAAGCTTCTTTGACTTCAAAAAAGTTACCTGAATGGAAATGAGCTGAAGATCAGTCTCATGGCTGTGTTTCTTTCCTCATACAGGAGAAACTCTCCTATGAGAGAGTTACATTTTGGTCTGAGTATTTGGGATTTGTAGAGATTCAGCTGGTAAAGCTAGGAAGAGCTAGGGTTCAGAGACTAATAAAACAAAATGTGTTTTTCACTTGTTTGCTACTTTTCCATACAAATTGTGTTGTGTGGTAGGCCTCTGTTAATTAAACTAGATAACACATGCACAGCTTGCTAACAATTTCAAATTATTGTACCACATGAACATACAGACAGAGACACAATCCTTCTTTGCAGAGGTCATTGCTGATGGCCAGACCTGCAAAACTTCCTACTTCTCTCAACTGACCTGTTTCACATGTGGAGTTTCCCATGTGTTTCAGTATTTAAGGGTGGAGCTTTACATACATACAGTAAAAATGAAGAGTAAGGAAAAAAAAAAAGAAATTAATAGACAGTGAAAGAATAAAATGAGAAAAAGAATTCCTGCCACCTCCAAAGACTAGTTGATCTATATTTATCTGCATGAGTTCAAAACAGTTGTGAATGTAAGCATTTTGTCTGTTTTTATAAACCAGTTTCCAATAAAAGGACTCACAGCTGTAAGTGACTTCTCAGTCTTTAAAGGTTGTCAAATGGGTCTGCAGGCCTTGTCATTTCAAATTTTATCTCTGTCATATACTGAGCAAGTACAACATACAAACCTCTAAAAAGGAAAAAAAACCCCTCACTAGTTCTGTTGCTGCTCTTCCAACTCCACATATCTGCGTAGACCCTCTGGTTGTCCACTGCTCTGTCCTGTGACTGCTGCATGGTACTCTGGGTAAGAACAGATGGAGAATGTCTGCAATGCAGAAACAGCACAGGTTTCTGCAGTATTTTCTTTTGTTCCTGGTATAAACAGAGAGACACGGAGTGAAATATGTGTTGACACCCAAGGTCTCCAGCTGATCCTTTGCTATGTTGACTTCCCACATTGGAAGATTTAACTTCAATATTCCCTGTTTAATAAGACACCAGCCAGTATATGTGTATATGAGTAGAGATGTAGAAGATATGTGGAACACAGGCACACACACATAAAACAGAGTCTCTTAAATGGTAATAGTAACCACAGCATTTTCATCCTAGTTATCCATGATAGTTTTGCCTCTTAAATTTGTAAATACTACTACAAGAGAGATCTATCCATGTGTATCTCATACAGAAGCTGACCAGATCCATCTCTCTGGCAGTTTGAATCCAGGAATTAGGCTTCCAGTGAAGATTTATTTCAACCTATGAGAAAAAATATCATTACCATATATGAAAAAATTCAAACTATCAAAGTAACATGAATTAAAAGTAAGCAATATCTCAAAGGTTGTCAATTATGTGTAACATGAACGAATTTCATCACAAAAAGATTCCAAACACAGTCATGAATATGTGGCTTATTCATATGTTAATCAGAAAAAGTAACCAAAAATATTTTTGTCTGAATTTGATTTTCAATTCATAACATTTATAAAATGACAGGAAATTGTTCATGAAATCACTATGAAATATTTGCAAAATATGTGAAACATGCAGATTTTTCTCCTGCTGTTACATGTCTTAAATATTTTCATTTTGCTAGATACGGATTAATTTCTCATTCCATAGTGCTACATTTTTATGTTCAGACTGTCAGTCCAAAACTGGCTTAGTTTTGTACTAGTTACATGCTAGGAGGAACTGTCCCCCTTGCCTAGACAGATTGTCCAGAGCAGATTCGTCTAGAGCTCATGCTATAAATTTTCTTATTACTGTGACACTTTTCAAAGTTGCCATGAAAATTTTCTAAATAAGTTGTTTTCACTTGAAATGAAACAAAACCCTACTGTAACTCTGAGCTATATATAGCACATATAGCTCATATCTGAGATGGCAATGGAGATTCCCAGTTTGAAATGCTGTTGTTATCTTAGCTTTAGTTGCTTCTATCTATTCAGGTGTGCTCTGGTGTAGTCAGACAGGCAACTCACTGCCTTTTAAACTCCATGGCAATTCAGGAGTGAACAGGGACCTCTCAGTATTTTACCTAACTTTCTGAAGAGGTCTGAAGAATACAAGATTATAATGTGGTGTTAGTAGTAAAAGACTTGTGCAGAAAATATGCATCATGTGTACCAAAAGCTTCCTTAACCTTTACAGTTTGAACATAGGTATCCCACATGTGAGGAGAAAGTCCTCTCCTAGGAGGGACCCCATGGGATGCTGGCAGGAAACTGTTCTGTCCTCCTGCTGGGGCAAGAAATACAGGGTGAGGAAGGAGGAGGCAGAGAGACTGCCAAGAGATGATTCAGCTTTCATGAGAGAGACAGGTTCTTCTCTTGACTCACAGTCCACTTCTGCTGTAGTTTTTTTGACCAGGGAATGGCTAAATGAGAATATATACCCACTTCAGCAAGCAGCCTCTCATTTTTGGCTTTGCAGACAGCAGGGTCAGAGACAATAATTATTTTCTCTCTGACCATCTCGCATTCTAATCCTAAAAGCTGTGCATTCCTAACCCACATCACTATGATAAGGGGAGGCCCCAGTATGCTGGAGCCCTGTAGTTTGTGTGCTGCCTAGAGAGGACAAAGATGTGAATTTGAGCCCTCTCTGATTAAAAAGCTGGTTCTCACAAATATCTAGCAAATTCTAAGATATGGCTGAACATTGTGACGCTTTATCCCCAATGATTTTGCATATTCTGAGCATCTTTAAAGATATCAGCGCCGTAAGGTTTTATCTCTAGTGCAGTGCATCAGGAAAGGCCAGGTGGTCTGGGTCCCTAAATCCTGTGCCTGCCTGCTTTTTGCCCTACACATTCAGAAGAAAGACAACTGCCTTTGTGAAAGGGTGCTTGGCCTTGGGGTAAGGGTGCAAGGTTCATTACTCTGAGAGACTGAGTGTAAAGCATAGACACTTCTGCAATAAATCCACTCCAGATCACAGTTTCACTCACCATCGGTAAGCATGTGAGTAAGAGGAAGTCTCATTAACTAAAGCAACCAAGGAATAATGGAAAGTGATAATTAATCAAAGTATAATTTACATTTATTTTTGCCTTTTTAAATGCCAGTGTGTAAGTATATGTATTTGGAATATGTACTGAAAAAAAATGCAATAAGGTAGTTACTTGTCACTCCCAACCACAGATTCTTACTGGTTTAAATAGATTTTCTTTCTCAGGATTGTTTTATAGGACTTTCTGCTCAGTCTAAGGCATCTTGCAGTGAATTGGATAGTTTGGATAAACCCTTTTGTCTGTATATTTAATGCAGTGGGCCCATCCTGTATCATAAAATACTAAAATTGATTAGAAGTTAAACATTTTCAACAAATGTACCTCCAAGAATTTACATAAAGGAATACATGAAAAGTTGATGAATGGGTACATTAAAGTCCTTGAACAGAAACACTTGGACAACAGCTTTGCTGTTAGTAAGACTGCTTCTAAGCAGTTTAGTCTTATCTTTTGACATGGTTTTTATTTTGAGTTGGGTTCTCTATGTAGTGGTGGATTTTAACTTGGTTTATATTGTTTCAAGATTTTTGAAAGAGATTTTTATCATTGCATAGTCATTATGGTTACAAAAGTGCAATTTGTCTGGTCTATCACCAGTAAGGAGTGGGATTCAGCACAGACCATTTTTTTCTCTACAAGCATAAAAGCAAACTCATTAGTAAGTCAGGTAAAAGGAGTAGTATATTCAAAATGATCTTTAAAAATTTAGGCTTAAGACCTCAGTAATGTATATTTCCTAGTTCATTAATGCAGAAATAGTGCACATAGATTTTAATCTTAGAGTTAATAATAAAAGCAATTTTCACTAAAAATATAAAAACTATAATGGTAGAATCATGATATTGCATTTAGCTCTCCCACAAAAAGTCACTTTATTACTTTCTTTTGACACTTATTTTCATTCTGGGATTAATTTTACTATATAAGGGCTTCTTAACTATTCTATTAAAATTTCCATTCAGAAGCAATAATATCTAAGAGTGAATAATAGTCATGTAAATCATTATTTCATATTAATGTAAAAGATTTTGTAAGTTCTTATGAATTCTGCTGACATGCACAATTGTGAAAAGGTTATCTCTACATTCTGCAGTGATATGCGCTGGAACAAAGGAACTATTTTAAAAGCATCAGTGGAGTACATCAAGTGGCTACAAAAAGAACAACAGAGAGCCAGAGAATTAGAACACAGGCAGAAGAAATTAGAGCATGCTAACAGAAGGCTTCTACTCCGAATTCAGGTATGTATAAAAGCATCACCATCAACTACAAAGCTTTCTCAGTACTTATTCCTCATCAAATTTTATTTATCTATATCATTTTTTCCCCAAAATGGCATTTAGTGAAAGCAAATTGACTTTCCCTATTTATTGCAGTGTATATTGGGGAGTTGAAGATCTCTAGGAAATTAATTTGATAATTTGACCTTACATAAGGGAATACATGGAAAGTTAGTAAAGTATTTGTACAGACAGTTTCCTTATGTATATATTAGAGCCAGAGAAAGACAAAAAAAGGAAGCAAAAAAGCACATCCCTGTAGCCAAAAATCAATACTGGACACAAAATTCCCTTCGGTATTTTAATATTCCCTTTGTATCTATTTCACACATTACACTTTCTTTGGTATAGTGTACCATGTTATATCTGCTTCTGACATGAAGCAGCAAAATATAGCCCTGCATGGCTTGAAATGCAAGATTTGAATATAGACACATAGGAAGATGAGAGACAGACATAAAATCAAGCATTTTACATATGATGATTTATACATATATCTGTATATCATAAGCATCATCAAGTAAAGTATTTTCTGTTTCTCTGTATAGCAGCAGATAATGAACTATAAAGTTGCAACATTTTTCTGTCACCTTTATTAGGATCAATACATAACAGTTTTTGAGAAGCTGTCCTACTTCTTATATTCCCATAGGACAGTGGCCTGATGACGGGAGAAGAAATGAGAAGAAAAACATTTGAGTGGCAAACTTTCATAGATTAACAATTTTATATTTTAAAATGTATTCTCACAACTGGACAAAAAATAGAATTAATTTGCATGTACAATCCATATACTTATTGCAATAGTTCTGAAGACACTATTTTGTCTTTTAAAGTCATTATCTAATTGCTTTTTTTGGAAATGTTAGGAACTAGAGATCCAAGCACGTGCACACGGCCTTCCAGTCATGTCTTCACTCAGCGCTGTGGATTTAGCTGCACAGGTCATCAAGCAACAGTCTTACCCAGAGGAGAACTCTGTAGACTACTCTCAACAAATGCCTCTGGCACATGGACCAAATGCTGATGTTTGTGATAGATCTACAGCTTTTTCTGATCCACTTTCACACTTCACAGATTTGTCCTTCAGCGCGGCTTTAAAAGAAGAGCAACGGCTAGAGGAAATTTTACTGGATGACACAGTGTCACCATTTGGGACAGACCCACTCTTGTCCTCCACATCCCCAGCTGCATCAAAAGAGAGCAGCAGGAGAAGCAGCTTTAGCACAGATGATGGAGATGACTTATAAAAGCAGAAAGGGCCTCATACTTCTCTAAACCACTTGCTAAAAGACTGAGTTGAACGTAAGCGCGGTGTTTGTATTTTAAATATGAATAAGAAGAGCCGCTGTGAAGAAAAGTTACTACTTGACAGAGGTTTAAATCAGCTCTTCACAGAAAAATGGGATGAACACAAACTCATATCACTTTGTCTCAAATTCACACAGCTGACATTTGCACAAATCTTTCTTCACTGGAACTGTTTTCACTATCATTCTATGACTTTTTACAGCACTATGAAAATGGTTACCACAAAAGGAATATCCATGTTACAAAAATGTATTCAGACTGTCTCTTCAATCTGCATTCACTTTTCTCTGCTACAAACATGAGTTTTAGTCATTTATAAATTTCTTTTTTTACATATAACTAAAAGTGCTACAAAACATGAAACAACAGGGAACTATTTAAGCTGGAACTGTAGAAATGTTACAGGCTTTAAAATCTGAAAAACAGATGGTAATGCTTTCACACAAGTCAAGTGAGCATGAAATTTAAACTGTGTAGGCTTCTCTTTAAAAGGAGAAAAACCATGAAGCTTTTCATGGAATTCCATTTTATAAAACTTTCATTTGTAGAAAAAGAACAGACTTTTAATATATATTTTAATGATAAAGAAGGAAAAGTGGAAACTAACATAATGACAAAGACTCAAACTCAGACAGAAAAAAGATACAACATTTCAGCAGAAAAACTGTATGGATGTAGAAGACTCAACAAAGATGCTCCATGTTTCAATTAGCACAATTTAAAATGAGCACTACCAGTAACAGTGCTATGTCAGCTGCTTATTCCAAGAATATTCAAACTGTGTCCCTTTTGCTGTGGAAAATATCAGAATTCAGAGCCACGACACTGTGCTTTTGGACAACACTTTCGGTGGTTGACAGCACAGTAAGGTTTTTCCAAAAGGGCTCTACTTTATCCATATGCATGCCTTTGATACATTTGAAAACGGAGGGAAATTACAAGATTTCCATGGCATACCCTTGAAACAAAGAGAATTTATTTTCAAATTTGGCTTTGGCTTCACTACAGAAAAGCTTAAAAGGAAGACTTTTCAAACTGAAGGGGATTTTCAGAAGTGTTGATGTGATGCACTGCTTCTCATAACTAGCTTTGTAGGAGGAGGCATTCAGAAAATGTGTGTTGATGACTCAGTAAAGGCTTGGCAGGTAGAAAGCGTAATCATTTCTATACATAGTGGAATTCTGGAGAGTGATGTATGTCCTAGAGGACATTAAGTGCAATCATTCTAATTGAAATATTAATACATGGGAAAATAAGATGGCACAGGCTCTTCCTTAACCAAAGCCAAAAGATCCCATCAGGGAGTCCTGTAATGATTCAAAGTATGTTTCAAAATTGTGTATTAATTTTGCTGCCACTGAGCCTGCCTCACACCCCAGGAGTGTCATAGGATTGGAAATAGTAAGAAGATATTAAAGTGGATGGTTGTTTGTGTAAATGTTTTGAATGTATCTAAACATATTATCCAAAAGCAGAATAATTGTTTCTTCCTATTGCTTCTTCTGTTACTGGTACCTGGGTCTTCCTTCCAGTCCTTGTGAGGTTTGTGTTCCTCCAGGGCCGTAGCCCATTCCTGACCATCCTGAATAGTGTCATGATAGTTTCTTCTTTCCCAGCAGCGGGATAATAAATTACATTAAGATGGCTATGAGAGATGATCGATTATCCAATTTCACAAGAACATTTATATTTTTAAGAAACTCAAGGATTTCTATAAGCCTGTGCAAACTACTTGGATGTTAGCCGAACAGAGCAGAACTGATCTTCTTCTTGCATATGTGTGGGTTTCGAGTCAGCCCAGCACACACCTGACCCTCAGAAGAGGCTATGATATGCTTCCACTGCATAGTTAAAAATAATGACAACAATCAGGCTCCTGGTCATTTCCTTTCTTTTGTAGCATGGAAGAAAGGACTGGAAAGGTGAACTATTATTAACTAAAGGTAACTGAACATAGAACTGACCAGCATTTTAATTGGAGTGCTTCTATAAATTAAGCCATTGGAAGAGGAACCACTTTGTCATAGTTTTGCCAAAGACTAGCTAATATTCACATCTGAATGCAAAATATGATGAATTAAAAGTAACATTTATGCCCATATTATGTCTAGTGTAAGATGTGTACTGTCCATTTCAGCTGTTGAAAGCAGGGGATACTTGGTTGATATCAAATGCCATTTGTCCATGTACTGCAGTTTCTACTACATTAGCTTTAAATACACCAGTGTGGATTGCTCATAATGGAGAAAGAGAAATTAAATATGAATGTATTACATGATTTTCCCATTGAACTTTTAAATGGGAGCTAGACCATACTTCTGAACTATATTGACTTTAAATAACATCCTGAATTTCATCACTTTTATAAGCACTGTTCTAAAAAAAATTATAGTGCATCCATTAAATTTTTTAAAGTTGATTTTCATTCTTCTGACAATTGCTTCACTCTGAAGCACCAGATTTTTTTTTCTTCCTCCATAAGAAACTTAACAGAAGATAGTGAATGCTTCTTTTGCAATATACCATATTGCATCTACCATTAAACATATTCAAACTGTTTTCATTCACACAAAATCCCCAATCCCCTTGCCCAAAACAGTAAATGTATTCGTATCTGTAGGTGTATATTATGGCAATGATGTTTTGCTGTCATTATGCTTTTTCTAGTAGGAAGTCATCATAATTAGTATTTTAGCTAATGACTGTAACCTGTATTACAGCATCACCCTTGAAATTAAGTGGTGATACAGGGTGCCAGAAAGAGTAATCTAGGGAATTCTGGGGATAAATAGGTGGTACTGAAGGCTTTTAGGAGATCTGTGTGCTGGTGACCACATCCCAGACTTTCTGGAGTCAGCAATGCCTCTCCCACCCCAGATTTGGCGAGGCAGCTCTGAAGCCAAGAGGATAGAGCAGACCAGAGCATGGTCCTACTGGCTTGCACAGAGGAAAGGGATTTCATGACTACAGGGACAAATTCTGATGTCCTTCCTCAGGCAGAATTTCGTTGTTGTCCATGTGAGTTTTATTGGACTAAAACATGGTACAAGTGAAATACGCTTTTTAGCTATTTCCTACAGAGGTCTGTTTAATGAAATCCCATGAAAAAGATGCATAATATAGCTGTGGCTCTGGGCTGAGAATAGAATTTTCAAACTTTGACCTCAAGCAGGGCAGGGGGTGAGAGTAACTGGCTATTTTTGTGGAGATATATTAAATAAGGAGTTCTTGCTTGGTCTTAGTAGCAGTTCTTCAAAGCTGGTGGACATATTCCTACAGAATACACAAAACAGGGGACTTATAATTACACAAAAGGAAAGGGAGTTGAGCTATTAACATCCTGTTTAAATAATGAAATGGATATAGATACTATACTAAGAACAGAAACCTAAATTATTTCATTGCACACAGCGTGGACACTGTGAAAAGCTACAGTAAGTGCAAACAGTTTTAACAAACAGGAGCACAGTTACTTTATATAGTAAAATAACTAAATATAATTCAGTCATTTAATCTTAATAAGAACATTGTTATTATAATACTTTTTGACTTTAATAGGGCTGTATATATGACTGGAGGATGTAAAATTATTGTAATTTAAAATTATGTTAAGTCTCTTAGATAAGTAAAGGCATTTACATTACTATTATGAGAATGTAGAATATTTTTATAATAATTGCTATTTTTCATTGTTAACCATATAGTATCTTGTTTTCTAAGTCAACATATGCAGACAGAATGTACTTTCTTACGCACTGTACATGCAATCTTTTTAAAAATGCATTTTATACATGTTGGCATTTTATGTTTATAATATGAATACAATTAAAGGACTGAAATTAAAACATTTCTTTTTATGTCCCTTGTGAAACTTCACTATCCAGTCCCTCAAAGAATGCCATCACAAGCCAATATAATAACATCCGCTAAGAACATCTGAGATACCTAACAGACAAAACACTTCACAACTGCTAAACATTTAGTCCATTATGATACATCATGATCCAGTAGCCTCCCATTAATAAAAATAATTGATACATTCCTTAATATGGTCTCCTGCCATCTGCTTATTCCTG